TTTTTTTTTTTTCGTTTGTTTGTTCAGCTGATATTAAAGTTGACAGTCACTGATAAAAGTGTTGTCTAATTTTTTTTTGTATTTTAAAGGAAAATGAGTATCGTTTTTTTACCTCTTTGGATGGGTTATGGACATTTGTTATGGAACCAATGAATACGGAGGGTATCGGCTTTCAAAATAAGTGGTATTCTGCGGATCTTACTGAATTCAAGGTATTAGTAGTTATATTTTGTTTTCAAAGGAAAGTTTGAAGAAAATTTTTGGGATACAATTTTATCATATCGTTCAGAATGCTACAGTAATGCCAGTACCATCTGCATTTAATGATGTTACGGCCAGTGCAGAGGTACGTGATCATGTTGGTTGGGTATGGTATCAGCGAAGTTTTTATGGAAGTCAACGTGATTGGAATCTTAGACAGTTTTTAAGATTTTCAAGTGTCAACTATTATGCGAAAATTGTAAATTTTTGCTGCTATTTCTCTAGTTAAATATTTAAATTTTTCGCTCATTTGTAATCAAAGTAGGATGAAAAATTTTTTTTTCTTGTTTAGCTAAGCAATACTAATTTTGTTGTTTATTGGGTCTTGAAAAAAGAAAAATTATTTTGCTTTTAAATTTCAACGAGTTCAAATAAAATAACAGTTAGCAGAAAAAAAACTAAAAGTCATTAAAGATTTTCAAGTATCTAATAAATAAAATATTTTATTTTTCTGTTAACAATTCTTAGTTGCTTACAATCGCTAATTGCAGTTAAGTTTGTCATTCATTCTACAGACAAGTTTTAATTGTTTTTAAATAGGTTTTAAATAGGCATTTGAAAATTGAGTAAATTTGTTTTCTAGAGTTTTTTTGTATCTAATCTCTTCTTGTTTTCTGATTTAGTTTTTAAACGGAAAAGAAATTGGATCTCATATTGGTGGTCATTTACCGTTTGAATACGAAGTAACAAATACGGTTGTCCACAACACAAAAAATTTGCTAACTGTAGCGGTTAATAACACACTTTCGAGTAGCACAATACCTCCTGGTACATTCCAATATGTCACAAGAAGAAACGAATTTTACAATACATCTGATGGGTATAATCTCAAAATATTTTGTTCAAATCTTTTTAGTATATAAAAGATTTCTAAAAGAAATCTTTTTTTTTTTTTGCTTTTTTTTATACCTTGTAATTCTTTGTTCATTTCTCTTTCTTTTTTTTCAAAAAAAATCAAATTATTGTTACTTATTGGCAGTAAAATTAATCTAAATTGTGTTGTTAAAGTTCAAAGAGAGGCAAAAAAAAGTTGAATTTTGAATGGAGAAAAGAAATCATTTTTAAGTTGAATTATTTTTTCAAACTTTTCTATTCTTTTCTTCAGTTATTTGTTGTTTCGTTTCGAGCGCGGAAATTAAATACTACAGAACTGTAGAAGAGTAAACTAGTGCAAAATTAGCAGTTATATAAGAGTGTTATTGAAAAATTTGAAAATTTTTTTAGTTACATTCGACAAATGCCAAATTTTGATTTCTTCAACTATGCCGGTATTTTACGTTCTGTTTATCTGCTGAAAAAACCCAGCTATTACATTGAAGATGTACGAATTCAAGCCGAAAAAAACGGTAAAAAGTGATTTTTTTTCAAAAATATAAGAGCGTATTTTCACATAAATATTTTATAATCATGCTGATTTAGTAAATTGTTCAACGGATATGCAAAATAATTTAGGTTGATCGTTAAAATTATGCCTGACAGTTGTTGCTTATTAGTTGTCATCTATTTTATAGGTATGTTTTACTATAGTGTAATATCGGATCCACCTGATATGGACACTTCTTTCTTGGTGATCATTAAAGACGATATGGAAATTAATGTCTTTACTTCAACAAATCAATCGGGAGCTGGTATCTTAAAAGATGTCAAACCATGGTGGCCACGAGGAATGGGTGATCCAACACTTTATCTTCTGGAAGTTTGTTTTAACTGTTTCTGAAACATAGTTATTGTAACAATGGCGTGATAATTGCTGCTGCCGCTCAGCAACATGATTTTGAACTTTTCATCCTGTTTCAAACATTAGGTTTAACCTCTTTTTCCATTTTGCTAGGTCTATTTGATGAAAGACGAACAGGTGGTCGATGTATACAGACTTAAATTTGGATTTAGGACAATTTCCTATTCTTCAGATCAGCTGTTTATTAATGGCCGTGCCTTTTATTGCCATGGATTCGGAATGCATGAAGATTTTGAGGTATTTACTAAAATGATTTTTGACAGTCATAGAAGGTTCATGATTTTTGAAATTTTTTTAGTTGCATGGCCGTGGTTATGATCCTGTCGTGATGACAAAAGACTTGAATATGCTTGAATGGATGAATGGAAATTGCTATCGTACATCGCACTACCCGTACAGCGAAGAAAGAGCTATGGAAGCTGATCGACGTGGTATTGCCGTTATCACAGAGACTCCAGCAGTTGGAATAGCGTAAGTGATACCCCTTTCCTTTCCTTCAAAAATTACTTAAAAAAGGTTTTTTTGTAAACCTTTTTTCTATCGTTAACAGCAAAAACACAAAAATTATCACTGAAGAAAACCAGTTTTTTTCCTGTTGCGTAACAAAGAACAAGAACTAAATTTATAGTTTGATTCAATCTAATTTGAGTTTTAATTTACTCAGGAAAAGAATTTAAAAGATATAATTTATTTTTTGACTTGAATTTAAATTTACTATTACTTAACTGAGACTGACAATTATCAAATTGAGTAGTGGTGTTTATCAAGGTACCAATGGAAGGTGAAAACGACTTTTTTTTTTGGGGGCATAGCACTAGGTGCTTTGATTTTATTTTATAGACTTTCAGTAAGATAAGTCTATTAGTGGCATATTTGCACAGAAAAAAAAATACAGCTTTGACTAATTGCTCCTTTCTTTTTTGTTACTGCACTGATAAACTATCTTGTACAGTTGTAACTAATATTTTACAATTTTGTCAGATGTCATTCAGATAATGCTTCAGTGATAAATTTGATGAAAGAAAACTAAAAATGTAGTAAGTGCACGATAACAGAGTAAATAAACAAAGAATTTTTTGATGTACAAAGAACTTAGTGAAGTGTAGAATCATTTTTTAGTGTGTTCACAGAAAAAAATCGGAAATTACATGAATTAATGATAAAGGAGATGATAGCTCGAGATCGTAATCACCCATCAGTTATTATGTGGTCACTGGCCAATGAACCAAAAACAGATTTACCAGCTGCTCAACCATATTTTGAGTACGCTTTTTTATTTTCTTTTCTTGCCTGTTTTTCTTTTGCTGAGAAAAAGTTGTAAAAGATCAGTATTTCTATGAACCAAAAGGCAAGTATTAATAACAAAAAATTGCCAAAAAAAATCATTTTTTTTT